TTAAACTGTTGACAAAATTCTAAAGCAAAGCATCTCAACAAGAAATTGGAAAATGCATCCCTAAGTATTCTGAACACTCTTTCCATTGTTTAATTATTTTCTTATTTGTCAAGCTGTGAAAGTCTTCATATGTCAGCTGCAAGCTTGTGATTGAAAATCAAATATACAATCTCATATGAACTGACATTCGTCTTTGTTTGACAGGGCCTTATGGTAGATCATTTGATTAAACTTGGCAATGTGTGAAGAAACTACCTATAAAGCAAGTTATATTTTATTTGCTCTGGTGCTCAGCTCTTTTTGTTTTGACCATATAATATAGACTCTTTTATTTCCATGCGGCTAATGTTGCAAACAACTATTAAAGTGTTACTAAACCCACAACAGTAAAATCAGTCTGTATATGCAGTAAAGCATGTTTGTTATACTCCGTGTGGAATCTAAGGGGTTAATTCTGTGTAAAAAGGCTGTTCAATTCTGTATTCTCTGATCCTCCCCTTCTTCCACAGTCCCCAATCCATCTGCTGATGGAACAGAGCCTTGTGGGCAAGCTGTAAATGCTCAGTTTGGTGTGTATTGCTAGAGATGTTTTTTTTTCTTGGGAGAGTGCATGTGATCAGCACAGGGCCAATCAGCACTGTCAGGGACCCCAGGCTTTGCCGCGGCGCGGAAGTCTGCGCATGCGCGGTATGCCGGGGCGCACTAGCGTGCAGGCACCAGCACCTGGGCGCCCGTGACGGCAACGGCGGTCGTACATGCGTACTCACGATCGCGGACGCATGCCTGGCACCAATGAGAGTGCAGGGCGCCCTATTTAAACAGGCTCTGACTATGCTCAAATTGCCGTATGGTCTTTTCCTGTTATCCTGTGTCCTGAGAGGTTGCCTTGTTGCCAACCCTGCCTGACCCTGATCCATTGACTGTCTCCTGCTCTGATCCCCTGCTTGTCTGACCATTCTCCTGTCTCATCCTGTACGTTGACCTCCTGTTGCTGAACCTGGCCTGTGACCCGTTAATCCTTCTGCCTGCCGCTTGTACCGTTCTGCCTCCACCGTTACTGACCCGGCCTCTCTGACTTCGCTCACTCTACCTCCTCACATCAGGCTCTCACCTGCTACGTACCACCGGAAAGTGTCTCTACCACTGCTGGTTGTACCCAGGGGCCGCGACCTGGTTTTGGCTTGCTCCAAGTCCATCCCCACCATCAGGGGCTCTGGTGAACAAGCAGGTCGGAGCTTAGATTCCGCGCCCTGGGGAATCCCGGTCTGTGGGATGCTAGAGGATACTACCGATCGTTCCCTAACAAGCACTGTCCAGACAGAGGTCAAAGGTGCTGCATCCTCCTAGAATAAACTCCTCCTACAAGCTTCAACCAATGCTCTACTGAACACTGATAGAAGTCACAAGACTGCTCTAACTGATGATTAGAAAAGGTATTTAGCAGTTTATATTTACTAAAATAATAGTATTTTCATTTTATGTGTACTGTGGGAGACCAGATATAGTGAATACAGGGTCTGGGGTTTAGTAACACTTTAATATCACTTTATTTTTTCAGTGAAGGGTGTTTCTTTAAAGGCATTTTTTTAAATAACAAACATGTCATACTTACCGGCTTTGTGCAGTTGTTTTGCACAGAGCAGCCCCAGTCCTCCTCTTCTTGAGTCCTCCACCGGTGCTCCTGGCCCCTCCTGCTGAGTGCCCCCAGAACAAACAGCTTACTATGGGGCACGCAAGCAGGCTCAATCCCGAGCCGCTGCTCTGCATGTTCATTCACACACAGAACCACAGCTTGGCCCTGCCCCCTCTCCTCATTGGCTCACTGCTGTCTCAGGTAATGAGGAGGGAGAGTCCCTGGAGAGTCGGGGCTTTCATGCACATTCTCTGGATTGCGAAGGGGCTCAGGTAAGTATTAGGGGATCTTGGGGGGAGCTGCATACAGAAGGTTTTTTTATTTTTATGCATACAATGCATGAAGATAAAAAAACCTTGAGCTTTTACAAACATTTTAAGAGCAATATCATGCCAGTTCTTAATTAGACCTAAAGTAAGACTGGTTTAGACTGATTAAATGATCTTGTATGCTATAATAGGCTACTTTATTAACCAATCAGGTTAAAACCTGCACTGGAAAATAACAGAAGAATGAACGGTTTAATTTGATTGGTTACTCTGGGAACACAAGAAATGAATAAGGCAATTCCATGCACTTTGATAGATGAATCCATTTTAATAATGTTTAAAAAAAAAACTATATATATGTCAGAGGTTGTTGACGCAAACAACTGCAAACACATGCCAAGGTATCTCTGTAAAGTGTGCTCATTATCTCAATACTATCTGAGTCCCCAAGAATGGGGCATGTATAAGAAATGTCCAAACTGAGAGCAGGCTCACTTGAAGACAATCCCTTCCTACCTAACCCACAGGCAAAACAAACATACATTGTATTGCCAAAAGTATCGGGGTGCCTGCCTTTACACGCACATGAACTTTAATGACCCCCCAGTCTTAGTCCATAGGGTTCAATATTGAGTTGGCCCCGCCCTTTGCAGCTATAACAGCTTCAACTCTTCTGGGAAGGTCGTCCACAAGGTTTAGAAGGGTGTCTATGGGAATGTTTAACCATTCTTCCAGAAGCACATTTGTCAGGTCAGGCACTGATGTCAGGGGAGGAGGCCTGGCTCGCAGTCTCCACTCTAATTCATTCCAAAAGTGTTCTATCGGGTTGAGGTCAGGACTCTGTGCAGGCCAGTCAAGTTCCTCCACCCCAAACTCGCTCAACCATGTCTTTATGGATCTTGCTTTGTGCACTGGTGTGCAGTCATGTTGGAACAGGAAGGGGGCATTGCACAGAGCAGGTAAGTATGATGTGTTTGTTATTTAAAAAAAAAAACTAAGCCTTTAGTATAATTTTAACCATTGAAAGCCATCAGCTCTAAGTGGGAACTAATTAGCTTCTAATTTCATCTTGTAAGGGCCCTGATTGGACAGCTGTTCACACTATGTTCAGTTGCTGTCAATCACAACCAGTGAGCAAATGAGAAGAGAGAGGGAGGGGCAGAGCCATGGCTGTGTGTGAATGAACACACGGAGCAACGGGTGCCCTCATAGCAAGCTGCTTGCTGTGGAGGCACCCAACTGGAGGGAGGAGCCAGGAGCACGGGAGCCAGACCCGAGAAGAGGAGGATCCGGGATGCTCTGTGCAAAACCACCACACACAACAAGTAAGTATGATGTGTTTGGTATTTTTTTAAAAAAATAAGCCTTTAGTATCACTTTAACTATTGAAAGCCATCAGCTCTAAGTAGGAACTGATTAGCTTCTAATTTCAGCTTATAAGGGCCCTGATTGGACAGCTGTTCACGCTATGTTGACTCTAAACCCAGCTTTTTTTTTGGATGGGATAGTTACCTACCTGTTGTTTAGGAGATAGGCCAAATTGTATCACATTTCCTATTCTGGCCTGAGGCCCACCTCCTTCAAATTCCCAGCCACAATAAAGGAATGTCCAGTACAATTGTATTTTAAACAATTTACTGTACAACACAATCAAGTTCAAGTTCAGTACATCTCTTGTAAACACTGGGGTTGATTTACTAAAACTAGAGAGTGCAACATCTGGTGCATCTCTGCAAAGAAACCAATTAGCTTCCAGGTTTTTTGTTGAAGCTCAATTGAACAAGCTGAAATTGGAAGCTAATTTGGCTACCATGCACAGGTACTTATATAGCGCTGTCAATTTACGCAGCGCTTTACACATCTATATATATTGTACATTCACATCAGTCCCTAACCCTTAAGGGGTGTACAATCTAAGGTCCCTAACTTACATTCATACATACACATATTAAGGACAATTTAGACAATTAACCTACCAGCATGTCTTTGGAGTGTGGGAGGAAAGCAGAGCACCCGGAGGAAACCCACGCAAGCGCAGGGAGAACATGCAAACTCCATGCAGGAGGTGCCATGGTTGGGAATCGATCCCAGAACCCATTTAGTGCAAGGCAGATGTGCTAACCACTAAGCCACTGTGCCGCACAGTTGCACCAGATTTTACAGCGGTTTTAGTAAATCAGCCCCACAGTCCCTTATAGCTTAGCATCCACTAGTACGACTTACAGAGCAAAAATCTGAAGTGCAAAACTATTCCTCCATTACATAGATTCCCGATCAGCAGTCTCCCAAGTGTACAACATCACTACAGCTGGGTATATATGTACGGTCTTTTTTTGTTCAACTAGATGGTTGAACAAAAAAAAATCTGACATATCCCTGCATCAACACAAATGATGCGTGATGCAGTGTTCCCCCCATCAGAATACACAGATCAGTTCTTACAGCCATTGGCTGTGAGCACTGTTCCAATGCTGGTTTTCCAATATGACTCTCCAACAGATGCCAGTTGTTAGACAAGCTTTTGTAGAACAGACAGCAGTGAGCATGTACCTATATTCTTGCTGAATTGGACAAATTTTGGTACGTGTGTGGGGCTTTATGGAGTGTACACGCTCTCAGCACATGTTTGTTTACAATGCGGTCGCTCGGCATCAGGCCCCATATTTGCGTACAGTCGGTGTGAAGAGGTTAGAGTTCCAACAGTAATAGGACCATGGACATTCTGTCCTATTTTGATAGGACAGAAGGATGTTTCAATGCCCCAAGAAGAAAGGTGCTCCCAAAAAAATGTATGCACTCTGGTGATTGGTTCAATTTACCTGCAATAGCATCACACTGAACACTTTTTTTTTTTTTTTTTTTTTACTTTATTTGAAGTGTTACATATTGGAATTTCATTCATGGGCTGCTGTGTGTTGCACCACAGTGTGGTGACATGCGGTGCCATTCAGTGTGGTGCAGAAAAATGCAGACAAATGACTGAAAATCATATTCTCTGTCATTTGTAAATACAAACTGAGCAATTAAAAACCATCATGTAATGTTTTTCTGACATACATGCAAAAATGTGTTTGACCAATTAAAGTGTTACTGAACCCCAGGACCCTGCATTCACTATATCTGGTCTCCCCGGACCCTGCACTCACTATATCTGGTCTCCCCGGACCCTGCACTCACTATATCTGGTCTCCCCGGACCCTGCATTCACTATATCTGGTCTCCCCGGACCCTGCACTCACTATATCTGGTCTCCCCGGACCTGCACTCACTAATCTGGTCTCCCCGGACCCTGCATTCACTATATCTGGTCTCCCCACACCCTGCACTCACTATATCTGGTCTCCCCGGACCTGAATTCACTATATCTGGTCCCCCGGACCCTGCACTCACTATATCTGGTCTCCCCGGACCTGCATTCACTATATCTGGTCCCCCAGGACCCTGCACTCACTATATCTGTCTCCCCGGACCCTGCATTCACTATATCTGGTCTCCCACAGTACACAGAACATAGAAATGCAATTATTTTAGTAAATATAAACTGCTAAATACCTTTCCTTATCAGCAGAATATAGCAGTCTTGTGACTTCTATCAGTGTCAAGCTGAGCACTGGTTACGGCTTATAGGAGGAGTTTTCATTCTGCTCTGACTGTCCTGCATAACCCCTGACCTCTGTCTGGACAGTGCTGATTGGCCCTGTGCTGATCACATGCACCCACACTAAACTGAGCATGTGCAAAGTGACTTCTAGAGCTCTGTACTATCAGCAGATGGATTGGAGACAGTAGAAGAAGGGGAGTATCAGAAAAAACAAGATCAAACGGCCTTTTTACACAATGCTGAGAATTAACTCCTTGGGTTCCACAGTGACAATAGCAAGCTTGACTTACTGCATTTTTACTGTTGCGGATTTAGCAATACTGGACACAAATGTGCGGCCTCCTGGCGTGTGGGACTAGACGCTGAGTGGCTGCACATTTGTATTCTATTTAAAAAAAAAACATATGTTCTGAGAGCGCGCCCTGCGAGGTCCCCGCACAAATGTCCAGTACTCACGGAAAGGTCCCGATCTCCTCTTTTGATCGGGACCTTTCCCGATCATGTGAGCATCGTGAAAGCGTGTCACGGCGGTCACATGACCCTAAACCCCGCCTCCCAGCTTCTGAAACCCTTAAAGGGCCAGGAGGGGACGGCGCCAAGGGGTTAACCCTTTGATGACATAAGATTTTGGAACGCCAAAAGAATCAATTTTTTTGTTTTTAAAGTTTGTACACTTCAGTTGCTGTAACTAAGCCATTTCATGAAATAATTGGCAAAAAGCTAGATCCATTTGTTGTTTGTTGATAAGAACTAATATTTTGACTCAAACCGAAAAAAAAAAGAGTTTTAAGTTCTTAATCAGATGATACACGCAATTACAAACATGGGACAAATACGTCCCTTGTCCTCAAAGGGTTAAACAATATTTCACCTTGCAGAGTTGAAATTGATCAGTATCCTGATTGAATGGAGGGTCTTTGCTTTGCGAACTTTCAATCAATCCATTCAAATTAGGTACATCGAATGGTCAACCGTATGACCATATCGATAAGTGTGTGGCCACCATAATCCATCGGCGATCCAAGACTGAACGACTTTCTCCAGGATGGAGAAAAAAATAAATCGAATGCAATTTTCTCCAAAAGCAAGTTAAAAATCCCCATACAGATATTCCATTTATGTCCGGCCTGTAAGTAGTTAAGGATTGATAAGCTTCCGTATTCGCATCCCAGTGGAAGCTCGGGTCTTCTGAGTTATTATACTTCAGCATAGTCTATTTGCATATCATTGCTCAGTGTACTGGAAAGGATCAGTCTGATTAAATTCACATAACAAACAGCCGAGTGAAGCAGCAGCCTGGTGACAATCGCACAGATAGGAGGGTTGCCATGGTTACAGGAGCATCAGTTTTATCCTCTGTGGATACTAGTCTATGCTGGAGTTTGACATAAAGAGCATTAGCAGGCCAACTAATGTATCAGCAAGGGTGTTCTGTATTGTCTGCCAATGCTAAATCCCATTGTGATCTGCAGTCTTTGCTGCATTGCTGAGCCCGGCAATGCTAGGCTGAATTACCAATTGCCGATCAGAAATAGAATATTATTATTATTCTTCTATGATATTGCATATTTTGAGGCATCGGAATGCTTGAAATGCTCATACATAATTTAGAGGACCGGCTGCGGATACCTTGTGGATGCGGGTAACTCAACACAAGACATAGGCTCCCACTGTGTGTGTGCAATAGACAATGGAAAGGCTGAAAGCCCACCGATCCTCTATGAAAATGAAACAAATTCACCCATCCAGTGGTCCCCCCCAGGAAGCAAAGAATATTTTCTTGTCATGTCTGTTCAACCCAAATGTTACATGTTCACAGTTTATGACCCACATGGAAGAAAGATATACTTTAAATATATTTTAAAAAATATTCTTCCCAAATCAATTGACATATATTTGAAATGCTACAATTTTGGCCATATTAAAAAAAAAAAAAACCACACACACACACACACACACACACACACACACATATATATATATATACAGGGTGCAGCAACATAACTTCCTTTTTTCAAAATGCAATAAAACCCATTTTATGAATCAGAATTGTTTTTATTGTCTTTAATAATGTAGGTACATATCTAAAGTTCTGTTTTACACAGTTTTGAAAATCATATCAGGTAGGTGACGCCCCCCATTGTCCATACACTGAATAAGCCGATTTCTGGCGTTTTTCATGACCCTTACCAGCATAGCAGCGGGTATATTGGCAATTTCTGCGCGGATGTTGGCCTTCAGGTCTTGTAGGGTCCTTGGATGGTTTACATAAACGCGGGGTTTCAAAAAACCCCACAAAAAAAAGTCGCAAGGGGCCAAATCGGGGGAGCGGGCTGGCCACTCCAAATCGCCCCTTATTGAGATGAGGCGCTCCGGGAAGTGTTCCCTTAAAACAGCCATTGATGCTCTTGTGTGAGCCGTTGCTCCGTCCTGTTGGAACCAAATGTCCCCTAAGTCCAATTCATCAAGTCGTGGAAAAACAAATTCCTCCAACATGTTCACATACCGGTCTGAATTCACTTTTTCAGTGTATGGACAATGGGGGGCGTCACCTACCTGATATGATTTTCAAAACTGTGTAAAACAGAACTTTAGATATGTACCTACATTATTAAAGACAATAAAAACAATTCTGATTCATAAAATGGGTTTTATTGCGTTTTGAAAAAAGGAAGTTATGTTGCTGCACCCTGTGTGTATGTATATATATACAGTATATATATATATATATATATATATATATATATATATACAGTGTTATATATATATATATATATATATATATATATATTTATTGCATGTTGAAATGCAAAAATATATCACACAATATACAAAAAATTTTTTTAAATATGTTGTTTTAAAATATATTCTTCATAAAAGCATAATTTCATATTCAAAGTAAGTCTCACGGTTTAGAATAAAAGTAGTCTATTATATAGATTGCCTAAACAAAAAATATATCACAAGTATGACCTTTACAACCCTTTTGAAAATAGCTTTTCTTTTTTCTGATTTAAATTTGCCCTCTCTCCTACAAAAAAAATTAAAATGTTGAAAGTCTAGCAGACACACATAAACTTCAGGACAAAATATTATTTCTAAATTACATACGCTTTACTGAGTGAGCCTTAAACACTTCCCTCCCATAGATCCTCAGGTTGAATGAGTTATACCGTGTCCATCACTGTACCCCCAGATGTCTCAGTAAAGAGGTCCTGTCACTGCTCCAGCTATCACAAGGGATGTTGTCCATCCCTTTTGATAGCAATAAAAAGGAAAAAATTAAAGAAGAAAAAAAATATACATTTTAAAAAAGTAAAGCTCCTGCCCACCCTTGCTCACATGCAAAGGTGAATGCATATGAAAGTCCCACACACAATGTAAACGATGTTCGCACTACACATGTGAGGTATCATCATGAACTTCAGATCAAAAGCAATAATTCCTGCACCAGACCTTTTGTGTAACTCTACACTGGTAACCTATAAAGGCTTTTAAAACATCGCCTATGGAGATTTTTAGGTACCATAGTTTGACGCCATTCCATGGGCGTACGCAATTTTAAAGTGTGACATGTTAGATATCTATTTACTCTGCATACATCATATTTTATATTTTACCAAATAATTGGGTATTATATTGTGTTTTTGTGCATTAAACTTCATTGAAATGTATTTTTTCCAAACCAATTATGTTTAAAAAAACTGCTGCGCAAATATTGTGTGACATAAAAATTGCAACACCCATTTCTTTATCTTCGGATATAATATTGTTATACAATAAACTGTCCACCTTTTATTTAAAAAAAAAAAAAAAGATTGTGTATTCCACCATTCTTCTAGTGCCATTAAATATACTAAAGAAAAATCCTTTTCTGAAATTTTTTTTTTTATCTATTCAGAAACTTACTAATAGTTATTCCTGCAGAGATCAGAGAGGTAAGATTGCTCAAGAGTGGCTAATACACAATTCTGACACCAGTGAAATCTGAATCTTAGTGGTCTTTGTATTACAAGCATCGCCATTGGAGATTTTTAGGTACCATAGTTTGGTGTCGTTCCATGGGCGTACGCAATTTTAAAGCATGACATGTTAGATATCTATTTAAGGTCTACATAACATCATATTTTATATTTTACCAAATAATTCACGGTTATTATATTGTGTCTTTGTGCATTGAAAGTGTATTTTTTCCCAAAATATTGTGTTTAAAAAAGCCGCTGCGAAAAATATTGTTTGACATAAAAAATTGCAACACCCGCTTCTTTATTTTGAGAGCTAAGGTCATTATACAATAAACTGTACATCTTTTATTTAAAAAAAGAAAAAAAAAATGTATCCAGATTGTGCATCTCACCATTCTTCTAGTGCCAAAAATATATTAAAATTAAAATCCTCTTCTGAAAAGCCTTATCTATTCATAGAAAATTACTAATAGTTATTCCTGCAGAGATCAGAGAGAGGCAATAATTGCTAGCACCAGGGATTTGTGTAACTCTAAATGGTAACCAGGGGTGGACTGACAGCTCATCGGGCCCTTGGACAAAAGGGAATCATGGGGCCCCTGTGTCCATGCCCAAACTCAAAAAAGCAAAAAAGCCTATGAAAAAGGTACCAGGGGCATCTCATGGGGCCCCCTACTGACCCTGGGCACTCGGGGCAATGCCCAAGTTTTCCAAATGGTCAGACCGTGTAACCTACACTGCTGGTAACCTATAAAGGCTTTTAAAGCATCGCCATTGGAGATTTCTAGGTAGTTTGGCGCCATTCCATGGGTGTACGCAATTTTAAAGCGTGACATGTTAGATATCTATTTACTCTGCATACATCATATTTTACCAAAGAATTGGGTATTATATTGTGTTTTTGTGCAGTAAAATTCATTGAAGTGTACTTTTTCCAAAACAATTGTGTTTAAAAAACCACTGTGCAAATATTGTGTGACATTAAAAATTGCAACACCCACTTCTTTATCTTGGGATATAATATTGTTATACAATAAACTGTCCATCTTTTATTAAAAAAAAGGAAAAAATGTATCAAGATGGTGTATTCCACCATTCTTCTAGTGCCATTAAATATATTAAAGGAAAAGAAACTGTGTTTGAAAAACCGCTGCGCAAAAATCGTGTGACATAAAAAATTGCAACACCCACCATTTTATTGTCTA